AAGTGCAGGCCCAATTGAAGGCAATGCTGCAGGTGGTAAAGCGGAATGACATGCGCTGGACTACTTCTCCTGAGTGATTTTCATGGTACAAGGACTTGATTTAACACTGACATGTGGCCATTAAAGCACGTAGTGTTCTCACCTGCAGCCCAAGTTTTAGAGACACTCATGTAAAATTTTATCATTCCAGGAACCTTGCGTTAGGAAGGTTCAATGCGTAACTGACCTCTATAAAAATAAAGAACTCTAAAGAAAACAGAGGGATTTGAGAGGTCCTATGGGTCTCTTACCCATTGTCCTGAAAACCCTCCTCTTTGCTCCTGACCACAGTGTTGGGTATGTGACATTGGGTATACCATTTCCCTGTCCAGACTAATTGGTTCACTTACGGGTACTTGACACAAGTCAAAAGAGTTGAAACCTTTTCTTCACGATGTTCTGGAATAGTTGGTGGTTATTGAAGCCAATAATTTTACCCTCCAAGGTCCTTTAAACTTCTCATACTTATGACGGCCTTAGGCTGCTTATGAGAAACTACTTGCATCTAAAAGGAAAAACACCAAACCAAAACAAACAAACCAAACCTATGTCCACTACCTACTGGTGTCTTTAACAGTCCGTTGCTACCTCCCTTCTTAGGTCTTAGAACCCTGTGGCTCAGTCGTTCCTTATATCACACCCATTCACCAAGGATCTCTTATTGGTTCAGTACTGTTCCAGGTGCTGAGCATAAAAAGGCAAATAAGACAAAGCCCCTACTTCAAGCCACTTAGAATACAGCTGTTCCTATGATTTGTATGTTCCCCTACTCTTTCTTAGGGTATTTGGGAAAGTTATTTAAACCCCCTGGACCCCAGGGTTTTTTTTTTTTCACACACTCTGTTCAATCCACGCTGGCCTCTTTATGCTGCTGGAATAGCTCCTCAACACTCAGGTCATTCATGGCTTTAATGTTACCTCCTCAGAGAGGTTTTCTCTTACTTCCCTTTACTTATTGCACTTCCCTTACTTCCGGTGCTTCCCCTACTTCACCATGTTGTAGCTCTCTCTCAATGTACCATGTATGTTCCCTTCATGGTACCCATCGTTCCATATGCATTTGCACCCTCTGCTCTTACAGCAATAATTTGTGCATATCGTTTACCCGTTGAAGTGAGAGCACTGCACTTCAAAGACTTAGTAAGAAAAAATGTAATATCAATTAATAACTTTTTCTAATCGTTTACATGCTGAAATGC